CACCAGGGGGCAGGGCTGACTGGCATGTGGTGCTGGGGGATTGAACCGTGGTCCCTGTGCTTTGCTAAGCTTGTTCTAAGTAGGTGCTTTAGACCACTAAGCCATCTCACCAGCCCCCATGATCCGCTTGTTTACAGCCTCCCACCAGCTGGGATTACAGGTGTGCGCCACCACACCCAGTTTCAATTGCCATCTCAGCATGCCCTGGAGGCGGGGCCAGCAGAGCAGTTCCAGGGATGGAACCTCCAGCCCCTGCACCTGCTTGCAGTCATTTTAATCCACTGAGATAATTGGCTGGTGCTTTAAATTCTTAATATATATAGCACATTTAGAATAACATTAGCAGTTTACTTGCTTATAAAACCTAAGAGATAACATCAGAAATAAGAAACTATGTGACCTACATTGTAAACACAAGCAAAAATCTACCACAGAAAGACTCTTTGCTTCAACTGTCACACCCAAGACGGTCTTCACACATGACAGCTGGATGTTCCATGCACACATATAAAAAAAACATTGGGGCCAGGGAGATAGCTCAGCAGCATAAGCACCTGCTTGAGTTATGGTGCATGCCTGTAACCCCAGCACTCAGGAGGTTAAGGCAGGAGGATCATTGCACGTTCACGACCACCCTGGGCTACAAAGTGAGCTCAAGGCCAGCCTGAAATTCATGGCAAGACCATGTCTCAAAAAAGACAAACAAAAAAAAAAAGAGCCAGGTCTTGAGTTCAATACTAGTACTAATAAATAAATAAATAAATTTTTATGACGCATTTTGACCCATTGCTTTTCCAAGTCTTTCACATTTCTGTGATTACTATGAGAAATCTCTGCTAAAGTCAGCAGGCCCCCTGCTCTCAGTTCAGCTAGTGAGATAGTAAATACACTTTTTCATGTGGCTATTGGTGTGCACAGAACATTTACACTCATTTTATTTTATTTTTTTATGTATTTAGTACAGAGTCTCCAGGATCTCACTACATAGATTGGACTCATAGTGATCCTCCTGTTTTCAGCCTGCCAAGCGCTGGGATTTCAGGTGTGAGCTACCATGCATAGTCCTGCACTTATTTTAGCCTTTGTATCTCACAGCATTTTGTAGTATTTCATTTGTTACAATTTCCAACAATGAATGTCATTCTGTCCAAAATCTTGCACCCCTGCCAAAACCCTCCATGCATGATTAATCTGATGATTCAAGCACTTATGAAGCGCTTCAAAACTTGCATATTTGATTTTCATGTGCCATTGTACTGCATTGGGCTACCTCTACTAGTAAAATCAAGACTACTTTTTAAAAAGAAAAAAAAAAAAACAAAACTGGAGTGGTTTAGGTGCATTACATCCTCTGCGATGCTCAGGTAAATATATGCCAAATCTGTTAGTCTGAGCATCATATTAGTGAAAATCCTGGTTTGACACACATGCACACATTTGGCCTTTCCTTGTATCAAGTGAGTAAATACAAAGATTGTTTCCTGTATTGCTCAGGCAAAGGTACTGAGACACACAGACAGCTACTATTACGCTAAAGTAAAAAATTACAGTAGAAACATAAAGGATGTGTTTGTGGGACCCAATGTTAAGACTGTTTCCTTAGCTGCCGAGGATCAAACACCCTCAGGCCTGAGAATAACATCAGTAGTTTGATCTAACAACAGTTAAAACAATCGTGCTTGCCTGGCCACATTATGTTACCAAGAAGTGACGGTGCTCTTATGCCGAAATAACTTTATATTCCTAATAATGGAATCTCAAAATCGTTTTCCCCTATTTCCTGTACCAGACTCAATCCCACCAAAAACAACAAAAAAATCCCCCGTAGGCTCGGATAGTACTATTGATTGACTTACGTGCTAGCCAATTCACGACGGAAAGGAAGTACACGCCAGAAAGCCAAAATCCAATCACTATCCAGGGACAGCTATGGGGGCGGGACTTATGGGAGCCGCCCGCTGCCGGTTTAGCTGAAGTGAGGTGGAATGAAGATGGCGGAGTGAGGGTCTGTTAGGCTATGTGGCCTCAGGGCCGGGGGCACACAGGCCCCCGAGAGGGCACTTACCTCTGTTGGGTCGTGTGAGGTGAGCTGAGAAGACTGATGACGGGAGGTGAGCAGGAAGTGGCGCGGCCAGCCTTGCAGGTGGGGCCGCGCACGGGCGTCTCTGGGCCGCTGCCTGCCGGGCCTGGGTTGGGCGCGGTGTTCGTCCCGGGCGACCCGCGCAGCCGTCGGATGTGTTGCTTAGCCTCCTTCCTTCCCGACCGCGTACCATCCTTCCCTGTGTCTTGTCCGTGGCAGCCTTTGTGCTTTCGCTTGGTCCCCGGAGCTTGCATCCGCGCGGGGTTGTAGTTGGCAGCCGCTGCGTCGGCCACCGGTTTATTTTTTAAATAATATCTTATTTTATCAGTTGTGTCCTCGTGCCCTCCCTGCTGCCTCAGGCGGCAGCGTCAGTTCGGGCCTGTCGTGGACAGGTATTTGCGACCCAACCGGTTGACCTTGAGGTTTGGTCTAACAGGATCCTCCTGGTATTTTCATTTGGCGGTTGCAGACATTGACCTCTTGCAGCCTCTGCGATTTCCTTTCATTCCCGCTCCCACTTCTGTCAAACTTTTCAGATCGGTGGTCGCAGGTTCCTCCTTATACTTAGTGATAATGGCCTGTGGCGCATTAATTTCGGCCCCTGTTAGGTGGAAGCCACAGACATTGGTTTCAGACCCAGAACTAAAGGAATTGGCTTTTATGGGTTTTTTGTTAGAGAAATAATGATAAATAATTTTGAGGAATATTAATAGCACATAATTTGTGTAAGGTGGCAGGGTTACAGAATGACAGTAATGTCTGATATTTGTATTTGGTTCTTTAAATTTTGAGGTGTCACATTTTTGTAATTTGGAGTGTTATAACCCCTCGTTGGATCTCTTTTCTGTTACCTTCCCTCCCCCCTTACATTCTTGGAAAGTTTCTTTTATTAGGTTTATAAATTATGAGGACTTTTGGGGTGGCACATTCCTGTAATCCCAGCACTTAAAGTTGAGGCAGGAGGATCTCCTTGAATTTGAGGCCAGCCTGGAGTATACATAGTGAGTTTAAGACCAGCCTAATCTTCACAATGAGACTTTGTCTCAAAACCAAACCAAACCAAAAATAAATTTAAAAAATTGATGAGGACTGATTAATACTGTGGTGCATAACTGGGTCTAGTTCAAGTGGAAAGTAGTAAATCAGTGGTTTTGCTAAATTCTATAGCAAGGGGAGAAGCACTTCATTTTTGGTTGCTTTTGTCAGTAGTAGCTTTTCATCTCATTCAGGAAGAGATTGGAGCCAGATTGTTTTACAGAGAATATGTCTACACCAAAGCAAAAGGTTTTAGAAGAGACCTATAAACTACTAGAAATCTTATCTACAGTTCTACAGTTTATCAAGAGTAAGAGAGACCAAACCATTATGAGATTCCTGAAGAACAGTGTTTCATATAAGCTTCAGAACTGCTCCTTCAATAATTTTGTTTTGTTTTCTGAGACAGGGTCTCTATATACTTCAGGCCGGTCTTGAACTTCTTTTGTAGCCCAGAGCCTTGAGGGGAAAGTGATCCTCTTGCCTCAGCCTCAAGTGCTGAGATTATCAGTGTGCATCACTATGTCCTGCTTGATTTAGGAATTTTGGCCTCTTTTAAAAATTAGTATCAGGACAGGTAGAGAGTAACTTACATTTGATTGTATTCTTCTGAATAGTTGTTGAGTAATTTTGCCATACTAACACATCCAGCACCAGTGACAGCGAAAGCCTTACTTTACTGTTCTTTTTGTTTTCAGGATCCTTATCATACAAGAAGATTTTCTTGACCTTTAGGTGCTCAAAACAATTCTAAACTCAGGATTGGCAAGTAAGTAGTAGTGGGGCAACCGTTCCAAATAAACAGCTTGAAAATTAGGTAGATAGAGGGGGCTGGTGAGATGGCTCAGTGGTCTAGAGCACCTACTTAGAACAAGCTTAGCAAAGCACAGGGACCATGGTTCAATCCCCAGCACCACATGCCAGCCAGCCCCGCCCCCTGGTGGGCTGAGCTGGACACACACACACACACACACACACACACACAAATAAATAAATAAATAAAAGAAAATTAGGTAGATAGAAGTAGAATAATTTTTTTTAAAAAGTAGAATAATTAGATTCAATAGCTTGGGAGACTGATGAAACATAGTGAGTTCAAAACTAGCCTGGGCTACATAGATGTGGCTCAGAAAAACGGTTGGGGATTTAGCTTAGTGGCACAGTTCCTGCCTGGCAGGCGTGAGGTCCTGAGTTTGATTCCTGGTGCCAAAACAAACAACAACAAAATTAGGTTCAGTAGAAGATTAACATTAAAAATGAGTATAAATTATTATTACTATTTTCTTTTGCAGTACTGGGGATTGAACTCAGGACCCTGCCCTTACCAGGCAGGCACTTATTCTACTGAGCTATCTCCCCAGCCCATGTTATTATTATCATCATCATCATCATCATCATCATCATCATCATCATCATCATTATTATTAAGTACTGGGGGTGTGTGCATCTGGCTCTAGGCCTTACTAGCTCCTGCAAGTTCCTTGGCCTGTGGCAGCGTGACTTTAGTCTTCATACCAGAGTTCTCTGTGTTGGTGTTCAAGTACTGAAGGTCAAATCCAAGAGCAATCTAGCTACATCTCAAGCAGCATTTTTTTTTTTTTTTTTTTAGTTGAGACAGGATCTCACCAGATTTCCTAGGCTGGACTTGAATTTTTGATTATCTTGCTCAGCTAGCTTCCTGAGTAGCTGGGGTACCAGGTATTGCTTCCCACTACCCCTTTTTATGAGGACACCAATCATACTCGGTCAGGATCCCACCCTGCTCCAGTATGTCCTCATTTATGTAATCACTTTAATAACTATTTCCAAATAAGCTCACCTTCTGACATCTATTTGGCTACCAACATTGATTGTACTATGTGAAAACCGGTCAGTGTGCAACTAATATGAGGATTAAAATATACACCCTTATGTGGGAGAGATAGGGTAGTAAGAAAAACAGAAACAGAAATTAGAATGGTGGCTACCAAGGCCTGTGGAGAAGAAAGAATGGGAGGTTATTTTATTTTTTGGTACTGAGAATTGAACTCTAATCCTTGCACTTGCCAGGCATGTACTTATGCTACTGGGCTATAGCCCCAGTCCTAAGAATGGAAAGTTAGTGTTTAGTAGGTATAGAATGTCACTTTTTTGGTACTGGGGAGTCAAACTTAGGACCTTGCGCTTGCCAGGCAGGCACTTAGGCCACTGAGCTGTATTCCCAGCCCCAGGGTTTCACTTTTGAGAAGCTGAAATGAGTTCTAGAGATGGATGGTGGTGGTGGTAGCACAGCTGTATTAATGTACTCAGTACCACTAAACTGTATGTGTAAAAAAGGCTTAAAAATCATAAATCTTATGTGTAGTTTACATGGGTCTAGAACTATCTAGTCCAGGATGGCCTTGAACTTTTGGAGATCCTCCTTGCCCAGCCTCTCAAGTGCTGGGATTACAGATGTGCACCACTATCTATGCCTAGCTTTAAGAGAATGTATTTTAATAGTGTAAAAAGAATAAAAAGAGGTAGGGCAGACTAGGTGTGGTAGTCCATGCCTCTAGTTCCAGTACACCATTGGCTGAGGCAAGGAGTATTGCCACAAGTTTGAGGCCTGCCTGGAACTACATAGAAAGTTCTAGGCCAGCCTGAAAGACACAGTAAGACCCTGTCTCAAAAAACAAAACAAGGGGAGGGAGAGAAAACAAAACAAAAAACCCTGATAGGGAAAAATGCACTTCCAGTGATAGTCTTTATCGAATGCCTTTAGAGGAGAGACTTTATCATTTAATCTTAGGACTTTAGAATCATGGCAGTATAACACAATATACACAAAACAGTATAACAGCAATCAAAGTGTTCATTGATAGAGAACAAGTCTGAGTAAATCTTGGTACTTCTGCATTTACAAGATAGTTTTAATTGTGATACAGAATGTTCTCCAAAACACACGCTGGGGAAAAGCAGATTGCAGGATATTATATAATGGGCTTGCATTTGTGGGAGGAAAAAAATCTCTCTCTCTCTCTCTCTCTCTCTCTCTCTCTCTCT